CAGTCATTATTTAATGAAGCCAAAGGTGTACCAATTATGACCTCACCACGAATACAACGATGGAGTTAACATGTCTGCATATGACTACACATTCGTGTATAGACCCGAAAAATTGATGGGTAATGCAGATGCGCTAAGTAGGTTACCGTTACTGAAAGTCCTCCAGAAATTCCTCTGCCAACAGATACTGTATTATTAATGGAGTTCTTAGATGTTTCACCAGTGACTGCAAGTGATATTAAGAAATGGACAGACCGCGATCCAGTCCTATCACGTGTTCGAAGATTTATTCATCATAGTTGGCCAGCGAGTATAAGGGCGGATGAATCAGAATTAAAGCCATATTTTGTCTGCAAAACAGAATTGAGTGTGCAAGACGACGTCATTCCTTGGGGAAGTAGAGTGATTGTGCCAGCACAGGGCCAATTACGCATTCTGAGATTACTACACGAGTCTCATCCTGGAATTGTCCGAATGAAGGCCTTTTCACGAAATTATGTTTGGTGGCCATATCTGGACAAGGATATTGAAACTACTGTGCAGAGTTGTAATGCATGCCAGATCAATACTAAACTACCACCCACAACGCCCATGCATCCATGGGAATATCCTAAAGGACCTTGGGATCGTGTTCACATTGACTTCGCAGGACCTTTCCTGAACCGAATGTTTCTCATTGTGACTGACGCTTATTCCAAGTGGATGGAGGTAATTCCAATGGTTAGTACAACATCAGAAGCTACAATAAATAAACTGAGAGGACTATTCTCATCACAGGGATTACCAACTACACTGGTATCAGACAACGGTTCCCAATTCACAAGCAGTGAATTTCAAACATTTATGAATGCAAATGGTATTATCCATTTAACGTCTCCACCATATAGGAATGAAAAAGCCTTGTAGTGGGAGTGTGGAAACAAAGTTGTCAAGATTTCTGTTCAAATATAGAGTGACGCCACACTACGACAGGTAAAATGCCTGCAGAGCTACTTATGGGACGAAAATTAAGAACACCTTTGGACTTACTACAACCAAATGAGCGATCAACTGTACTTCATGCTCAAGCAAAGCAAAAATCTGGGCATGACACGCATACAAAGTCCAGAGAGTTTGAAGTTGGAATGACTGTGTTTGTCTACAACTTTAGGCCAGGTCCACGTTGGTTAAATGATAGAGTAGTAGAGAAGAATGCTTCTTCTTATATAGTTAGATTAGAAGAAGGTCGTGAGGTGAGACGCCACACTGATCATGTTAGATTATCTAAAGTAGGGTTTAGTACAGGTTGCGACATGTATAGTTCCCTTTCTACACATGATGATGACAGAGAGATGCATGTTCCAGCAGTTTTATCATCTAGTTTAGGGGGAAATTTAGTAAGTAAACAGATTCCGATCGAACCACTTGCTTCTCCTAGTAAACCATTGTTACCTGTACCTGCTACACCCAAACCAATGTTGAGGGTTTCTACATGCATAAGAAAACCACCAGTTCGTTTAGATTTGTGAGTTTTTACTGTTATGTATTTTTGATGTTTTCAAAGTTCAAAGAATATACCCATATCCATGATGTGAATGATTATTGTGAAACCAAAACTGTAAAGTAGGGAAAATGGATGCTGAGGATCCATTTGAGGGTGATTTGTGCGAGAACCTCTCCCCTCTGGTGATAGGATTTAACGTTTATTGTTATTTTGTTAAAGTAGGCAAAGAACATTTGAATTTAAACTTTGAGATTTTATTGTACAAGTTCTCAGCTTAAAAAGGGGGAAGTGTAATGTATACTTGTACTCATGTTATATATATTTGTGAGACGCCCCTTACTTGTAGGTCATTGGAGATGACTCCTAACACGTGATGTAAGTTATTCTCTGGTATGACGACATTCTTGTAATGGCGGCCTGTATGAAACATCGTGTGAATGAATAAAAGCTATTTCTGCCTCACTGGTTGGACTTGTGTGAATACATTACATACGACGAGGTAAACTGGCAAGTACTCCAAGATTCAGTTCGTTTATCAATATTGAATGAAAATGGCATCTTTTGGGAAAATTGAAGAGTTCAATGTGGCAGACGAAGTATAGTTTAATGCGTAGCTTGGTGTCGCCCGACAAACCTTCCGACAAGACGTACACAGAACTTTGTGAATTAATGCAAGCATATTACCACCCGAAGCCTTCGCCCATTGTTCAACGGTTTAAGTTCAATTCGCTAGTTAGAAAACCGGGTCAGTCTGTTGCCGAGTTTGTAGCAGATCTCAGACATATCGCTGAGCACTGTGATTATGGGGCTACTTTGCAAGAGATGCTACGGGATAGGCTAGTATGTGGCATCCAGGATGATCGCATACAGAGAAGGCTACTTTCCGAATCAGCACTGGATTTCAAGAAAGCCATGGAACTTGCGCAAGGTATTGAAATTGCAACGAAAAATGCAACAGATATTCAAGTATTGAAAGCAGCCACTCCACAAGGGAGGGAAGAGAAAGTTCACACAGTTCAAGAGGTCAAACCC